CCTGTCTTTCTTCCATGGAGCTGCTGGTGGTTTCGAACTGCCAATTATGAGGATCTCAGCCCAACTTGTAACCACTAACCATGTCACAAGGGCTCCATTGTGTGTGTGGTGGGGCGGGGACTTCTCATTATAAATTGTTGTATTTTCAATAAAGCCACCCTGATTCACAGATAGAGAATTCCCTTCATTGGCTCCCTGTGTCCCTCACTGCTTAAGCAGGTGACAAATGTATATGTGGTTGACATAGGCACCCTTCAAAATGTCATGGAGGGGCATAAATGTCCCTCCAATGCCACCCTGCTGTCTGAAAAGTCTGCGTGGCAAAAGGTATAGGTGTGAGCAGGCTTCAAAAAGCTCATGGGACAGTTTCATGATCTTTCTATCCCATTTCCCCATGACCTTTTAGAAGCCCCTTTGCACAGGTGTGGGAGTGAGGGGATAGGTGTGTGGACATTCCCATCTAGTTGTGCTTTGGCAGCATGGGTGCGAAGACTATAACCGTGACTCCTTAACATGAGAAAATACTTCAGACTCCTAAGTCTCTCTAGGGTCATGTCCACGAACATTTATTATGACTGGAACTAAGTTTCCATTGTGTTAAAATGATTTTGCTTCTTCCCCCAAGTCGTTATGTCTGATCACTACAATTTTGAGATTTGCAAAAGCCACGTGTCTGGTGAAGCTTGGCTTCTTTGGCGCTCCATGGGCCAAGATGAAAATGCAAACATGCGAGATGCGCTCACTCGCAGCCAGCAACGGGAGCGGAGTTACAGTGGCGCCCCTCACTGCTCTCTCCTGGCGGACGCCCTTTCCCTCCCTCCGTAAGCACCGACTATCAGAGTTCTCCTGGCCAGGGTGGCATTCCCAGCCTCCGCTTTGAACACCCTTGAGAGGCCATGGGACGTTTATTCCTTTCCCTATTGTGGCTCTTCGGGCCCAGACTGCACTACCTCTCAGATTCTAACCAGTGAGCCACTCTCATCTTTCAAATGAGTCCCGGAGCCAAAGGGCAACAGTGACTGCCACGGAACTTATGGAGAATACGCTCCGAATGGGAGACCTCTGATGGCCGTGGATCAAGTTATTCTATTTGAACCCTAGGATCAATGTGATTCCACACTC